CTCGACGCACATTACGAGATAGTTCGCAATAGGATGGCCGGTGTTAACGAGAAGAGAGAATACATTGAAGGCTCAAACCCAGACAGCGTATCGCTAAACCTAGTGGTATTCAACTGGGGAAATATGGATCGAGCGCCGGTGCCCGCAGGGAATCCCAAAAAGAAGCTCAAACCTGAGAAGGGATTCGATTATCACCCTCTTATTGACATGTGCTTCAACAATTCAGCTCATATTACCCTCGTACTCGAGGCAGGAGCACTTGCGTCAGAGTATTCGATCGCAACCATGCGACAACATGAATACAGGGGGATGCTAATCCATTCTCCTCCCAAGGAGCCTGAGGCACCCTCGATGTATATTGGAGTCAAGGGTGACCCAACAACAGACATCGCTCTCGTCCACCACTTTTACCGTCATCGAACAATGAAGCCTAAGAATGGTGGTCCCAAGAAGCGACTGTGGGCATGCCACGGTGCGGTATGCCGCCTCACCTTTGGGTACCACAGTACCATCCAGGAGGCAAAAGAATGGGTCCACCCATATTCTGGCCAAAGGATGACGAGAGACGAGTTCATGCAGATTATCGGATATGACCCACTCAAGGGCAAAAATCCTGACAAGGATGGACCCACTGATGGCTCTTACCTCTCACCAGAGGCGTGCCTGACACTGTCGAACCTCGACCCCTCGCCGGTTCTCTGTGAATGGAACGGCCATGTCGAGGGTGATGAGCCACCAGAGGAAGACTTTGAGTCATACGCAGAGATCTTCTCACAAGAAGCATCGAACGATCTTGACGAGATGTGGTGTACAAAAGGGCCTTACAAGGTCATCACCATCGCGATCGTCCATTTCAACTCATACATGACTCATAAGGAAGAACAGAGACGCGAACTGGTGAACGCGTTCCTCAACGAGATTCTCCCTTTTAAACCGGATGTAATAGCGGGAGATCTCAATAATATTGCGTCGAGGCTCACCTTAAAAGGTGGAGACGTTCACCCGCGAAACAGTTTGTTTTCTCTATACCTGGAGAAGAAACTTGCAGCATTCAACAAAATAGCAGGAAGGCACTCACAAGTGCGACATCTTTGCTTGAACAACTCCGACCAGCACAGACTGGCACGTGCAGATCGTCTACCGGCGGACCCGGCGAAGAAAGTTGCTGACCTTGACTGTATCAACAGTTATATCCTTGACTGGAGTAAAACGCCGCACACGGCGTCACCTAGTCCAAGAGATGTTACACCTGCCGCCGAAAGAACATACTGGGAGCGAATCTCAGATATGTGGCAGGACATGAACAATAACAGGGATATTGATATCCGTCTGTTTGTCTCAGTCAAGCAGTACTATTCAACTTTTTCTAACCTTGACCTATGGTTGAGTCCCTCTGACAAAGATTGGCACAGCCCTTTGGGCTTCACGATACAACCAATCCTTACAAAAGGGAAACACAACCGGTCAGATGCCCAGGTTCAGAAGATCGCTGACAAGCGAAAGGCTTTCAAGCAGCGTAATGCTGAATACTGGGGTTACAAAGATTCATTCGTTTACTCATCCGGCAACAGCTGGTACGACAGATCGCAACCATCAGGTAGCCATCACAGATACGGAAGATTCTGGGAATGGCCACAGCCTGAACGTCCCAGCGAGCCTGAAGGTCCTCCTCCAAGAAGGAACCAGGAATCATCGTCCTCTTCACAACAAGATCTACCAAGATCAAGGTCCAGGCCTCAAAGAACCAATATTGTTGACAAGCTCAACATGTCTTTGGAAGAGCTGGATGGACTAGAAGAAGAACCGTCACCAACAAAAAGTGACATCGAAGAACACGAAAGAGAAACATCAAACTTGATGTCTGCTCAGAGAGATGAAGAGGAACAAGAGGACGAATCCTCCAGCCGGAGGAGAAGAAGGAAGGCATCGCGTCCACCGTCTGCTCCGAGCGGCAAGGCACTCAGAACAGCTGCTACAGCAGCGGGGTTGTCGGGCTGGTTCGGACACCGCAACCAAGGTGGAGCGAACGCAGAGTCTATCAAGACTGATGAAACTTCACTTCCAAACTCACTAACCAGTGAGCAGGACTTCTCCGTCTTCAGCATCGCGTGGAATGTGTTTCTGCTGCTAATGGGCTTACACTGGATGTGGAAGCAGATTACCAGGCCTCCTATCAGATGTATGGAGCGCCAACAACCAAAATCAAAAGCAGCAGCGAACCAAAGAGTTCCATTCCTCGAACCCGAGGATGAACCGCAGACGCGTGAACCTTTAGGACCCAACAGGGTCAATTCCGGAGAAACAACTGATCTGCGACCTATCTGGCATACTTCCCGAAGCGAAGTCTACCATCTCTCAGACAGCTGTTACCAGCTCAAGCAAGCAAGAGATGTTTGCAGGAAGGTGCTGTGCAAAAACTGCCTCCATGCAGTACAAGTTGCGGAGATTCGCAGGAACGATCCTTTTCAAAGAGGTGATACACGTCCACGTGGCACCGAAAGAGACATTGAGCGCTTCCAGACCTACGATGATGCAAGTACCACTCCTCATATGACGCAATTATTCAAAGATGCATTGCATGCACAAATGGCCGAAGAAGCCATGCAGATTACCTATACATCGATCCCCAAGGGATCCTCGGCAAAAGCCAAAGGTACATCTGCACTCTCAAGTGCCGCATCGTCGTCAGCGCCCAAGGCAATGCCACCAGTGCCTAACAAGGCAAACATGTCACCTCCACCTAAGAGTCCTCCGCCAAAGGCGAAAGGAACAGTACCTTCAGATCCTCCGAGACCAAAAGGTCCTACCAGAAGAGGAGGTCAAAATCGGCGCATTCAACGAAAGGCAGCCAGAGAAGCCCACAACAGTGGACTCTGCACCTATGCAGACGCTGCACTTAACGAAGCCAATCAAGGCCAGGCAATTAACATTACGTGCCGAAACATGGCAGCAAGACACGTCAGCTCTATCGATGCAACGGTAGAAGCAGCCGATCAGTTTACACAACGCGTGCTACAGCACGTAGAAACATATGATGAAGAGGAACCGTGGAGCACGGAGTTTCTACCAGTCGTGGAAGTCCTATTCAGGAACTTAAGCGGCGACGAAACAACTGTCATACATGACAATCAAACGGTAACTATGCCTCTTACGAAATACACAGACCTCCTCAGAATCGCACAATCATTGCGAAGCTCTATCCAGAGAGACAAGGAGGAAAGGAAGGAACATCTTGACACCATCCAAGATACTCTATCCAGAGTGGAAATCCTTCTAACAGCACTGAAGGACTCAAGGACAGTCTTTAACCAATTGGTCCATTCCTCACTAGAGATAGAGCGAAGAAATAACAATCTCAAAAATGTCCTCGAGACACTCTTTGACGACCAAAGCTCTGAGGAAGACCAGTCAGAATCTGACAATGAAGAAGTCCTAACTCCTTCTGCAGCACAGTACTGGAATAGCCTTTATGCCCACGCCTTATCTCCTTCAGGAGATGAAAGTGAAAGATCATGGGCGTCCTCAGACGGACAGCTTGAAAGAAGAAGGGCTGAACGGGCAAAGGCTAAGCAGCCACAACCGGCTAAAGCCAAGGCAACTCCAGTCAGCTCACAAGCTGCGCCAAAGGCCGAGCCAAAGGCGACAACATCCAACCATGGATATGATACTGCAGACGCCGCCTTCACCAGGGCTGAGAACAGACTACTCGGAATCTTTTCAAGTTCCGAAGAAGATCACTCAGACCCGGATGAGCCACATCCGAACGTCTATGCTCGAGCCTATGATCCAAACCTGGATCCGAATCTGAGATAAGAAAATTCTCAGAGTTTCACAACAGTGACTCACAAAGCTCTAACAAGAGCAAAGTGAAGGGCTGCATAATTCGATGTAGAAAATATCACCAGACATGATCTTGTACAGACGATCTCTCTGACCAACATGCATGAGTGTGTGCAAAAGGAGTGTCCTCAGCAGTGTACTTCAGTGCTATACCTAGCTTAAATAATATGCTGTTTTCATCATGAGTCCAGACTCCGCAACTGTGACAGTGGGCATAATAGTATATGTGTGAATGTGCGGCCATGCTTCCGGTAAAAGAAAATTAGTGTCTGTTTGAAACCATAAACCTCTAAAGGGGTAGCTCTAACAGGTACCTACAGCAATGGCTGCATGCTCATACATATACATTCCGCTGCCCATTGGCTCACAGTGGTTTTACCATATTGAGACAAGACAAGCTCTCCTTGCGTAGCAAGACAAAACAACTACTGTCCGTGTGCAGGGCGCTGCCCTTTGATCCTTAGGGAATAACTGGTCATACACCTCCTAACAAGGAGTATTCCTTGTGGGTGTATCGGCACAGGGGGGAGGGGGGGGGGGGTGCGCGGATGCTGGCACATATAAAGGTGGGGGCTTCGGGCTTTGTGGTGGAGAGTGTCCGCCCCAAAGACCACACCCACCCCAAATTTCACCCGCCCCCCCGCCTCAAAATTGTATTTTGGTTGGCCGGATTTAGGTGGGCCCTAGGAACACAGGGACTCTGCGAGGGCCTCCTCTTACATCAAGCCTCCAATTAAAAGGCTCAGGTTTCACCTGCAAACTTAGGGGTACTTAGAAACATGTGTTAATTGTTGGTTCCTTTTATCCCTAAGAAACCAAGCTTAGGGGTAATTAGAAATATGTTTTAATTGTTGGCTCCTTTTATCCCTAAGAAACCAAACTTAGGGGTAAACTTAGAATTATGTTTTAATTGTTGGTTCCTTTTACCAAGAAACCGCTAATCTTGTAATTTGTGCTACGGGTCTGAGTTCAGTATGACAAACTGGTTTTGCCGGGGAGATGTATTATGTACTTTCCAGATCCCTCAAAACACCATATCCCCGTATCTTCTTTCTACCGGTGTTCCAAGATCTACTCCACTACTCAAGTCTAAGTCAAGTAATTATTCAGCTCCCCAGACACCCTTAGGGTAAGCGAACGAAGTTTTAAGATGCCTGGAGGAGCGCCTGCTGTTGCAGTGGACATCATCGGTCACTTTCATGAGCCTTGCTCGGACTTATGAGGATGTGTTGTACAATGGGTTGAAATATATTGCAGCGTTTTGCTGACAACTATATCTAAGCAAAAGCTTGCTTGGAGCCTTGCTCAGACTTGCGATGTGTTTGCTTGGGTCCAGAGGGGAACAGGGTCGTAAGCGGGACAGGAACTGCATGGGGTTCTGGGCGTTACGGATATTCTCATCTGCGAATCTACATTTCATTCTTGACAACCTTTGCTGGGCAGCCTCAGCACGCGTAGTGTTACTTCTGAAACTTCTTATATAGTTGTTTCCAGGATTACAGGATGTTCTCGGCATCTTGGGTTAGGTGTACAACAGAGGTTTTTTCAGCCTCCGAAGCAGGTTGTACATTGTAGGCCCGTACGCGTTAGGGCATTGTGGTGTAGGGATCATTTGAAGGGGGTTCTGTAGGGTTGAGTGGGACACTGTGCAAGCGTTTGGGGCCTTGGGGACCAGAGCTTCGTATCCGATGGCATAGCGCATGTACAGGGCTCACGTTCACGATGTGTGTCGACCGACACCCTACACCCCTTCAACCGCGTCATGACGTCGCATTTCCTCAAACTTAGCACCGCCACGAGTCGCAATTCCGACAAGTTCGACAACCCAGCGAACCCGTTTGGTTTCTGCATTCTGCTTCTGGCATAGTTTCGGACCCTACGAAGTTGGTTGCTACTAGGTCAAGCAGGCTCACAAGTGTCCGGTCATGCTTATTCTGTGCTTTCAGAACGGAACCCTCTCGACTCAAATCAGTAATCTGCCAGGAAGATGGATGGTATCTTGGAGGCGTGCCTTGTCACATCCAGGTGAATGGTGCCTGGGTAGTAGGACCTCGGGATTGGGCGCTGATATAGGGTTGAGGCTCCAAGCAGAATTCCAATTCCTGAGCCCTGAATGCTAAAAGAACCGTAGAGGAAGTCTACAAGAACCCTCTGGACGACCACTACACACCCTAAGCCCTAAACCCTAAACATACAGGGATTTTAGGCAAAGGAGTGCACACCCAATCCGGAGGGCTTGCGAGATCATCAAAAGTCCGTTGCACTTAAAAAAAATACAGGGATCCCAAAGAACCCGACAAGGTTGATCATTTTTCGTTGGTGCACTGCATTTAGTCGGGCCTCACGAGCCGATTTCCAGTTTTTCTAAAGCCCCTGTGGCCCAAGGTCTGTAAGGGTGCGCTCATGGGCCAAAATACCGCACTCTTTGGTCCTAAAGTACCGATTAGAATATATACGGACTACTTTAGGGCCAAAATATACACTGCGTGCGCACGTGGATATTTTGGGGTCACGCAGCTGTACAATTATGTTTGTTGGGTGGTCTTAGTATCGAGTCTGCATGCCAGGCCGCAAGAGAACCCTTGAGACCAGGGAGATGCTGGGGAGGCCGTAAAATGAGTAGACTCGCTTGTATGGGGGTTTCCGAAAATTAGGGGTACCTTATTTGGTGGTCCTTATAGTAAGTTTTGGGCTTGGGATTGGGGTGTTCAACAACAACAACAAAAACAACCCTGACCCCTGGACCCCTAAGGAATCCTGAACCTCTACACCTCTAAACCCTAAACCCTAAACTCCGACTGTCTGTCAGTGGGTTAAGGGTTAGGCCCCCCAGTCTTTCAACCTCCCGAAGCGCCGAGGTACTTGGAGACCGACATGATGCCCCTGAAGACCTACCGCAGGGGAGGGCTTCGAGCACCGATCAATCATTTCCGCTCCTCGGCCTCGACATGAATCTTTCCGAAAATAGAGGACCCTCATCCCGTACCCTGAATAGTAGGATCCTTATTAGAAGGACCCCAAAATAAGGTAACCCTAATTTTTGGAAACTCCCACATGGGTTTTACATTGCTTTTGCTGTCGAGCTTCTTCAGGGCACTTGGGCTCTGCTTCCAGGCACTTTAGGCCTCTAAGGACTGCTCGGGTTGCGAGTGCATCTGGGCCCTGGGGTGTTGTGGATGTTCGTGATTTCTTTTGAGGGGCTTCCTGTAAACCCTGGCCTTAAAGCCTCAACCCTGAGCCGCCTTAACCCTTGCAGAATCCTGTTTGGGATTCTATAGGGCTCAGGGTTTGGGGATTCGGTAGAGAATCCTTACCTAGGATCCAGAGTAGGCCCTTATTCCCTTTTTGAGGGTTTAGGTTCCCTTATAAGCCCCTTTAAACCAAAAAGGGCACCCTTTTTATTCCTAGGTTACTCTTAGGTCTAGTTACAGGGTTCCTGGAATGGTTCTAGTGTTGTAGCCTGGAGTCTTCAGAGCTTCAGGGGTTTTTAGGCTTTAAGGGGGCTCAGGATCTTGCACCGCAAAGCCCTAAACCCTAGAGGATCAGTTTCTTCGGATTTTTGGGTGTCCATGGTCCTATAGGGTCGCGAAGTAGTTTAGGGCCTTTGAGTTGTTCGGTGCTTTTGAGTATTCGCTTTAAGGGTTCAGGGTCTGCAGCATCAGGGTTGATGTGTTTCGGGTTCGCTCGGCTTAGGGTTTTCGGTTTAAAGGGAACCACAGAAAGTTGGAATATGGATTGATGGTAGGATCCCCTATAGTTTACCTTAAAGGGGTTACGATAATGATATTCGAACTTTCTGGCTTCTACTGTATTTGGTTGAGGGGTTAGGATTGGTACAGACTTGCGCACCCTCGTTGCTGAGTCACAAGTCTCATCTTTCCCATGCCCAAAACCCAAAGGCCGCAAATCCTCAGCTAAAACCCACACAAGGTTCAAGAGCGCTTGTCAAGCCTGATGCTCGATGAAATACGTTCAGGCCTTAAAGTCTGATAAAATCTCTGCGTCACCCTCATCAATGTTGACCTGTGTGGTAGCACTTAAAGCCCAAACCAGGAACCCAATATATATATATATATATATATATATATATATATATATATATGTATGTGTGTATATATATATATATATATAGAAATTCCCAAAACCTGAACCCCCGAACCACAAGACCCCAAGCCTTATAAACCTTAAGATTAGATAGTATCCTGAAACCCCCAAACCCGAACCCTGCACCCTAAATGCCCTCGACCCTGGTAGTAGCCCTGCAAGGTTCAGCCAACATCCGGGAAATCGAGGAAGCACCCGAAGGCTTCGGAGCTGATACAGTTTCCCCAAAGGGTCCAAGTATCATCATGGTATATGATTAGACCCCCCAAATGCCCTTTCAGTATATACCAGAATGATACTTGAACCCTTTTTGTTCGTGCCTTTTACCATGTTAAAGGATTTATACTCGGTTCTTGCAAAACAATCCCCCATGCCTCCAGGGACCTTATTATGGGGTCCCTAAGGGGTCTAGGGCCCTAACTATGAGGTTCTTGCAAAACAATCTAGCTTAAGTTGTCATAGCAAGGATCTGCAGGAAACGCTATTGGCTAATACCCGGCAACTTAAATCACGTTCCCTAGCACGAACCCAGGTAAGGGCTCAGGGCTCATCTTTATGGTGTGCAGGGTTTCGGGCTTAGGCCGCAAGGAATTAGTGTTTAGGGCTTGTGGGGCTTACTGCGTTTTGCAGGGTTTCGGGCTGAGCGTTTCATCACTTCCTCTTGTATTTTACTCAGCCCAGGTACTACATCGTATATTTAGGACTGTAGGGTTGTGGTTGGTTTGGTTTCAGTGTTTGGCATTCAGGGTTGGAGCGCAATTGGGGTTCAGGAATTGGGATCCGGATTTAGACTGTTGGTAGAGGTTGGCAGACCCTAAACCCAACATCTTCCTGGAATCCTGACCACTTTCCATGTGTGCAAGCCTCGTACCGGGGCAGACCCTTGGACGCAAGGAAAAAGGGCATTGCATTTGAACAAAGAACATAACATCATCAACCGTATCGCCGATGTTCAAGATTCTGTCGGGGTTCTAGAAAGCTCTTGAGCACCACACCTTCCGAGACGTAAGTCCTCGACCCTAATCCCAAACCCACATGTTCGGCTAAGGCAAGCAGAGAAGCCTACATAAGCAGTAGTTCCGTTCCTGATAATCAAGGATTCCATAGTACAACGTACCCGACTTCCCATTGATGCCCGTTTTAACTTACTTATTCTGCATGTTAAAGGCCCCGGTATTGTGGACTCTCCTTTTCGCGAAACGTGGCATTTGAAGGCTGCTCGAAGCCAGGTTTCCTCAACTCAACAGGGCTTGTACTATACCCTTAACCCTACTTGGAGGTTCATGGGTTGTAAGTAGGGTTATTAGTAGGGCAACTATACTTCTAACCCATATTCGGGGACTTGTAACCCCACTTACAACCCTCCCCTTACCCTACACCGTGATCTCTGAAATTTCAACCCACAGACCGCCTTGCAATTTGCCTCAAAGTCGACATGAAGAGCAATATCAGATCAATAACAGCACTACTCTCCTAAAGGCAAGAGCTTGGGGTCATTGTGCCCTGATCCCTTAACTACAACCCGGTAAAGCCTAGGACAACCCTTGCAGATCTCTTAGGGAACTTATGGAACCTATTTGTTAAACCTTTGCGTTCCCTCGCTTGGAGGCTGCCGCGAGGCTGACGTTGCATTCTTCAATGACCACTTCTTCCGCAACTACCTGCGACCCTGCTCAAGGGTTCCGAAAAGGGTTCGTGTAAGAGCATTGGAAAGCTTACTCTAAGGGTTCCTTCAACGATTCCTCCAATAGTACTGTAACCGTATTTTACGGTTACCATAGGAGTTCTTTACGGAATCCTCCAACAGTACTACGATGTATAAGGGTTACTATAAGGGCTTTCGGGTCTAGCGGTTCGATGCCGTGAAATCATGCGATTCCAACAACGCAAAATGCCTGATCCATGGATGCAGACGCGAAGCATTCCAAGCAAACAGTGTGCAAAGACACGGTCGCCATAGCACGAAGAACGCGGGGGAAAGGGGGTGCTCTTCGGGCACATAGCCTTTAGTGCCGCTGCCAGGGGTCCACACCTTTTCGACGTTGGCCTAGCCTCTGTAGCTTTCAGCGCTTTGCGCCGAGCCCCCCCGAATTGCAAAACCCTTGCCTCCCAAAATACTTCATACCGACACCCTATTTAGTTCTTGCACCTGAAGCCTAAACGCCAAACCCTAAACCCAAACTGTAACTGTGGAAATCTTATGGAACCCGTCAAGGAACCCGTAGAGAACCGCTCAAGGAACCCTTGCTGCCATAGATTTCGACACCCTTGGGGAGCACCCGAACCTAAACTTTCAGGTGGGATATCCCTATCTTACTGGCTTAGTTAAAGAGGGGATTCTGGGATATCCCAACCTCAAGGTTTTTGTTTGGGTCCTTTTCTGGGTCCTTATTGGAGCACCCAGGCCCAGCTTCATCAGCAACGGCCGTGCCATGCACCAGTCACTTGGCCAGGATGAGAGAAGTCCGGATCTGGGTTCTTTCGGGACCCCAAAAAGTACATAAGCATAAGCCCTTTATAGGGATATCCCAACCTTATTGGGCTTCATTCTAAGGGGGGGTTTACATGGTGTGCTTTTTGGGGGCCCCAGTTCAGGGCATACCAGGACACCCTCCCAAGTACCCTTTAAAGGGCTGTGATACTTGTCATGAATGAAGAGGTAATTTGGGGCTGCAACAAAAGGTAGTTGGGGGGCGTCCCAGATCTAGGTTTAGGGTTTGGGCTCTGTAAGCCGGGAGGCCCGGTGTGCCCATCTAGCTGTCCAGTCAAGTCTGCATGTGTTCTGTATGTTTTTTCTTGGCACAAGGACCTTCAGGGAAAGGTGTTACGATGAAGGATGTCAGGTTTCAGGATGTAGGGTTTAATTCTGTAGGCCTAAACCTTTAAGTAACCCCAAACCGTAAACCCTGCATGGTTATTCGGGTTTAGAAGATCAGTCCTTAGGGTTTTAGGTTTTCTCCAGCAAGCTCACAAGGCTTGCAGAGCCCACGTTTCCGGGCACAGGGGTTCACTGAAATCTGTGAGGTACACCAAAACCGAGGCATAAATCTCAGAATGTGGTCCTACATGGCAGGAACCTGCACTATGAAGCCGTAAACCCGACCCTGAGACACACTTGAAAATCCCTCAGCTCAGAGCCCCCAGAGTCTCAGGTGGCTTGCGTATGTGATGCAGCCAAAAGTGGGAGTGCGAGCGACGCAGCGGGGCTGCATTGGCCTGCAGACGTCGGGGTGTATTGGCCAGAACCGCAGATCCTATACGTCCTATACTTCTCGTCACGACGCCTGAGCACTGAGTTTCTGTATCTACATAGCAAAGCCAACCTTGCATCCCTGTGATGATGGGGCCCTTGGGAATTAGGGGATAACTAGTAAAAAGTTAGGGTATCTAAGGGTCTAATAATGGCACCCAACAGCCTGCTCTAATTCTCAGGGCGCCTGTTGTGTTCCAGCAGATGCCCAATAGCCGCTCCACATTGCTCATAATTTCCTGCACCTTGCGTTTACAAATCCGGAAGCCGTAACCTCCCGAAGTTCAGAGGACTCTGATAGAGTCCTGCTTCTGTTGTACTTTGCCTTCTACATACAAAAATACAAAATTTGCAAAGAACAGACGGAGGTTTGTCGGAAATAGACGGGCATGGCTTGCATGAGGTGCAAGGGGCTGCCATCAACTTGCTTTGGCGTTGCTATAGCATCTAAATACATGAGCATCCTTCGTTCGACCATAGACTATAACATACCCTCAAACTGCCGCATCTACTTACCAGGATCCACCGGTTTGCTCCGTTATTGTAGACTTGCGTTTCAACCTCAAGCACATCATGACTTTCAAATTGTGGTGTGATTTTCGCGGCTTGTAGTGACCGGTGGTGAATGCACCTGGCGTTTCTGACAAAAAGTGAGTACCATATCTAGGGTTGCTTGTGGAACGGACCCTGGTTGTCGTAGAGAGTTCTACATTGCGGTCAATTCAGACCTATCTCTAAGCCGCTGTGTTCAAGGGCTCTTCTGCTTTGTACCCCCGCCCTAAACCCTAAACCCCCACACCCTAAACCTTGAACCCCAAAACCCCCTGTTCCGAGGCACGCAGTTGCACGCAAGATTTCCTGCCCCGCACCTTGCTCGCAGTTGCTGGAAACTTCAGTAGGTTCTGATGGTTTAGGGCTTCGTGTTTTAAGTTCGGGCTTCTAGTGTCATGTGGGCCGGAACCCTCAAAACCCAGTAATGTGGGTGTCGGTTTAATAGTGGGGTACCCCCCCCCGACCAAAAAAAAAATTATATTTAAAGTGGAGCCGGACAGGGGTCAGGGATCTGAGTGGCAGGGAATTGGGAGGTGCCGGGGTTTGGGGGCTGGCTTGGGTGCAGGGTCTGCGGTTCTGCGCGAATGCGCGGTCGGGGGGGTCTGGGGATCACCAAATGCTGGAAACCAAGCCCCGATCACTCCAAGATTACTACCAAGACTAAAAACCCTTCGTTTTGAACACTCTTAGCCTCCGTAACCTACACTCCCACACTCCCACCCACAAATCGACCACGTCTGAAGCTTGGTGCGGTACAATAATAGTACAGTATTACAATAGTAGCACAATAGTAGTACAGTCGTGGTACAGTAGCAGTACGATAATGGTACCGTAGTAGAACAGTAGTACAGTAGTAGTACAATAATAGTGCAGTAGTACAATAGTAATACAACAGTAGTACAGCGGTAGTACCATACTAGTACAGTAGTAGTACAAAAATAGTACAGTAGTACAATAGTACCACAATAGTAGTACAGTAGTAGTACAGTAGTAGTACGATTATAGTACCGTAGTACAATAGTAGTACAGTAGTAGTACAGTAGGAGTACAATAATAGTGCAGTACTACAATAGTAATACAACAGTAGTACAGTGGAAGTACAATAGTAGTACAGTAGTAGTATGATAATAGTACAGTAGTACAATAGTAGTACGGTATTAGTACAGTAGTAGTACAATAGTAGTACAGTAGTACACTAGTAGTACAGTAGTAGTACGACAGTAGTACAGTAGTACAGTAGTAATACAGTAATAGTACAGAAATAGTACCAATAAGCAAAGCATAAAGCCAGTGAGCACATTCCCCCAATAAGCAAAGCATAAAGCCAGCGCCTGAAACCCTAAACCCTAAACCCTGAACCATAAACCCTAACAAACCCTAAACCCTAGCGAATCCTAAACTCCTAAACCCTAACAAACCCTAAACCCTAAGCCCTAAACCCTTCCAAAAGGGGGGTCGGTCCAGATTGGACCCAAAATTGAATTTTTTTGTACAAACTTTAGTACTGGAGAGGCCTTTGTCGAGCAAGGGCCCAATTCCCAATTCGGCGGTTCACCCTAGCAGCCCCCCCCAATAAGCAAGGCATACAGTAGCAGTACAATAGTACAATAGTAGTACAATAGTAGTACAGTAGTAGTACAGAGTCTCATTCCTGACGCCCCAATAAGCGAAACAATTCTGCAAGAGATTTTCGGGCTTCAGGGCCAGGGTTTTAGGGTTGGGTGGGGGTTTGGGTGGGGGTTTCAGCAAATAGCACAGCCCCGGCACCAAAAAATCACTCCAGCCAAAAAATAACGCATTAATTAGTACCCCAAAAATTTTACTCGGATTCGGAATTAGCACCCAAAAAAAAGCATTAAAGGAGCCTATATTCCTAAACCGACACCCACATTACCCTGGCACATCTGCCACCTGACATGGAGAGAGGTTTGGTAGCTGCAGGTTTCGGTTTCGGGATACAGGCAATATGATCCAGGGATGTAGGCTTGGGGCTCGAAGTTCCTTCGGCTCAGCTTTTCGACCCTTCTCTATATTTCCTAAACCCAACACCACCACGACCACAAGAACTGAACCCGTGGATCCCGGCTTCAAGCACTCGTTGCGAGGTGAACCCTGATAGAACCTTGATAAAACACACACGTATATCATCCATTTCAAAAGCCCAGTCAGCTCTAACCCCTAAACCCTAGTAATCCTTCTGGACCACTATATTTGACCCCAGCCTAAACCTCATATTATCCCTGCGCCACAGACCCTAATCGGTCATTGCTTTACATAGCCCAACCTAGTAGTCGAGTAGGTAACCTTTAACCTTTTTTGGGTAGTATAGTCCCTATATAATCCCTATATAACCAAACAGACCAAACAGGTTAACCTTTGGTTCCCCATGATACCCTAAACCCCTAAACCCTAAACCCCAAACCCTAAACCCTAATGGCTTTATAAAGCCCAATTTTCCAAGGTGAAGGATGGCCCAGAGCTCTACGAGTGGCTTCACGACGTCTTCACGGCCCTGCAGGTGACCGGTGAAGCTTCGGGGTTGCAGGGTTTGGGGCCTAGAGAAACCCTAAATCCTCAAACCCTACCTATACGGTTACGGTAAGAGGGTGCTATAAAGTTACTATAAAGGCTTGATGTGAGGGTTGAGGGTCTGGGATTATTAGGATGCCTTTAGCCAGTTAGAACGTTGATGTTTTGTACAGCTGGCTTGGGGGAAGTAGGGTGCAGTTGTGGCTTTCGGCCGTCCGGATTTCGGGCTTGGGGTTTGGGCTTTATGGGTATGTGAAGAGACGAGGTCTCTTGGAGGGTCGCTGTTGGCCGTTTTAAAGCTCCACTGGATTCCAACAGGTTCAGGTCAAGTTTGCAGAAGGGCATGGGTTCGACAGCCTTAGGATTTCCTGTAGCGTGCCCTCGTCGTTGTGCTATGTTTTTGGGTTGTGATGCCTTGAGTATGATATGTTCTTCCTCTCTCTTTGACTGTGTGCTAGGCCTAAGGCCTGCGCCTCAACCCTGAAGTTTGAACCTCAGCTCGAATCCTCAACCCTCGAGTCAAGCCCTACAATCCGAACTCTTCCTTCGAAGTAACAGCCCAAACTCTAAGCATCCCTTGTAGAGCTCTTAGGGTAACCAGACAGATCTCAGCCCTAGAACCTTGAATACGGTTGATGGTATAGATCCTGCATTACCTTAAGGATCCTAAACTTTAGGAATAATGGTATATTCCTTATTATGGGTAATGCAGGATTTATATCATCAACCGTATCTCCGAAACCCTTCAGCCATTTCTCACCTGACTTGGACAGTGATAGTTAATGGTAGTCAACGCAAGAACAGAAAGTATCGTGATAGTAGTGATCATAGTCTTTGAGACCTTCTAGAAACTGCTTCAAGCCCCGAAGAAAACCTCTCTTGAAATCTGTTTCCTGAATCGATGAGTAAGTAACCCCATCCTTTTTGGCTCATGTAATCCTACCATGTTTGAAAAGGTTGACCTTTTATTTTTGGGCTCGGGTACGCAGCCCCTACGTTTCAGGATCCCAAGGCTCCAAATCTTGGACCTCCTACGCAGTTCGTCTCTTTGGGGCCGGGGCCACGGTTGCTATGAAGGCTACTATAGGCTGGAACGGTTCTACACTCTCAGGGCCCAGTGCTAGGGTCTAACTTCAGTATTGGCTCTATAAGCTTGTACTGTTCCGCTTGAAATCTGCGGAGTCTGTGGGTGTTGAGTTCAAGGTTTGGTCGAGTGGTGACACAGCTTCCCTTCAGGCACCACGTTACTCCCCAAATGGAGAAGCCGCAGACATGCTGGATGCAGGTGGGGTTTCGAAAGTGGGTTGCATCGATCGGGTTTGTGTAGTGTGCGGCTGCTCCTGCTTGCAATCCCTAGGTGGCTGAGGTTCCTCAGTATTTACATACATGGGTGCTTTGAAGACAGGTGTTGTAGAGGTCCGCAGATCTGCATAGTTAATACAGTCAGTATTCCCGCAATATACAGGGCAAGTGCCTAAAGATGGGCTTGGGTGTTTACCAAGGCGTTATGGTATACTCTAGCGATCTTGTTCAGTAGATGTAGGGACGGATAGTCCATTGTGGCTTTGAGTAAAAGCATCCGTACACGAGGAACCGCCACAGCTTAAGTCTGTACTTTACCCGAAACCTATATACTTGGCACATGAAGCCGATCGACCAGAGCCCTTAAAGGCCGTCATCACCATGACCCCTCAAATGACCGTGCAAGCAACCTTACAGTATCAGACTTGGAGATCCGGTAGAACCATTTAAACACCAATACATTTCGATAGAATCCATGTAATGCCCTTACCATGGTTGAACATTTCTGCGGCCCTAATATAATGTGGGCCTGAACAACTAGGAATGGCACTCCTGGGCGGTATAGTTTCCAATGAAGTTCCTTGTCACTGTGTTTCACATCGTTTAGAAACCTGTATGTCTGGGATAAAGTTTGGTTTTGTGTTGTTTCAACTGCGAATACTATGTTGTTGCCATCACTGGTTGTCCATGATAGTCATGGTTTTTTTGATGGTTAAGATTCTTGCTAGCAGTATTATTGCCCCCCCCTCCCAAAATCTAAATCCTAAACCCTAAACCGTATTACCGTTCGCTTGCAGGCATCGATCACGCGTCGATGACCATTGGCGACTTCGTGAGGTGTCAAGAAGTGGCGTTTATAGGGTTTGGCGTTCGGGTTTAGGGTTTAGTGTTTAAGGTGTAGGGTTCATGGTTGAGGGTTTAGTGTTTATAAGGGCTTTCATAGTTAGACTAGGGTTCCTCTACCGGCTTCGATAAGGGTTCCTGCAAGGGATTTTTGACAGGGGCTTGGCGCATACTTAGAATGAAAGTTGATGAAGTTTTGAGGTTTCTTGGGTTCCTTTGTTTGTGCGTATATTGTAGTATGAAATCACGTAGGGACGAGAATGGCGATGTTAGGGTCGCTGATTGAGACAGACCTCTACATCAGGTTGTCGGAATATATATATATATATATATATATATATATCTATATATTAGGACTTCAGGACTTAGGGGCTGCAGGTTTTTTCTGTAGGGGTGGGGGAGGTTCATGTAGGGTGTGGTTAAAGAACTTTGCGGAGGTGGGCTCCTTCGTGGCCTCCCCGGCTTTGGGATTGTCGGAAGCTTTCGGGTTGAGGTGCGAGGTTTTCCAGGACTCATTCGCCCCAAGTGCAAATCTCCAATACCACGGAACCTGAAACGTCATAATTTCGGAACCTCTCTGATTGAAAGCCCTTCTTCCCGTAATGATGGTTTTCGACAGTCGACGGGAAATTTCCGCGGGACTGAAGGTCTTCGGTCTTAGGGTTTGGTGATTTAGGGACTTAGTGTCGGAGTGCTTAGGGTCTGGGGCTGTGCGGCCCAATCCTCGCCTCAGCAAGGCTTCAGGTGAAAAGATGTAGTCCGGGACTTCGACGAACTCCAAATCCTATATGCCTTCATTTGCGGAAATCGTTACTAGCTTCCTTCAGCTACACGACACAGCAAGAGACAGTATGCCAAACCCAAACATGACAAGTGACAAGTGGTGTGTATCCACATAACGATCAACATACTATAGTATATAGATGTATGTAAGTATCTAGGTATGCAATTATGTGACTACGTACGTGTGTACGTATGCATGCACGCATGTAAATACCGATGTTTTTAACGAGTTACAGATAGAACCAATCCCCTCGGCCAGAATCGGCGAGACTCTGTACATGGTCGGCCTGGATGGGTGTCTTGGCTTAGCCCTGATGTTGATTCTTAAGTTTTCGAATGGTCCATGCACCTGCGCGGCTCATAGGCTTTGGCCTTAAAACGGGTTCCTCCGTTAGGATGTACATTGGAGTTGACCGTTATTTTTAAAGGCCCAGATATTCAATCCTCCCAAGGTTCCCACCAAAGTATTACTACTCGCAACCCAAGTGCCAACCCTAAACCCTCAAACGTATTAGCAAGTGCTTTGGGCTTGTAGGATAGGCGGAAAACTTCCTTAAAACCAACCTACAGCCCAAGACCCTCGAGCCCAAACTAAGATCCCCGAGCGATCCGCAGAAACATACCTCACTTGAACCATTCCCTCACGGATCCTGAAATTGTTGGTGCTTACCTTGAACTACCAAAACCTACCTTTGTCGTAGGGTCCTCGTAAACTTTGTGTTAGGGTTTAGAACAAGAGCCTACAAAGAAGTGGGGTGTGTTGAGTGGCGGGTTCTTTTCGGGTTCGGTGTTCGGGCTTTGCAACCTCATACCTGACACTCTAAGTTCCCAAACCTTTGCTTGAAAGCCTGCCGCTTCGTACCACAGCGCAAAGCGGCAACCCTCAACCTAAGCCCTCATCCTCCAACCCTCCTACGACCCGAACCCCGGGGCCCCGGAGTCTTACTAAAGCTCAAGCAGTCGCAGCCTTGACACATACAATTCGAAATAATTGCCCGCGGCATCCGCTTCTCTTCCCGAATATACAGGTATGTAGTAGAATATCGCAGGACTCTATTCTTGCTATAAAGGCCTCCAAACCACATCATAAATCTCAAGCCCCACCCCTCCCCCACCCAACCGAACAAACTCAGCCCTGCACCCTAACCCCTACACCCTAAACCCCTAAACCCCAAGCCTCTAAACCCCTAAGCCCCTAAAACCCAAAAACCCTATAATTACCCTAAACCCGAAAAACCCTAAACCCCTAAAACCCTAAACCCCCTAAAAACCCTATAAACCAGGTTCTTCGTTCTCAGCTTGAAGGAATCTGACCAGCGAGTGGTCCGCCTCGAGGAGCCCCTACCCTAGGGTTCAAAAAGGGTTTAGGGTCTTAGGTTTTTCGGGTTAGGGTTTAGGGTTTAGGGTTCTTAAAGGGTTTACTTGGGGGTACTTAGAAATATTTTTATTTTTTGGTTACTATAATCCCTAAGAAACAGCTAAAATTATAATTTTTGCTAGGGTTCTAAAAGGGTTTAGGGTCTTATTTGGTGGGATAATAGGGTCCCATTTAAAGAGGTGCTAGGGTTCTATAATAGGGTCCCCTTAGAGGGTTTAGGGTCTAGTTTGTTGTTGGCTTTAGGGCTGTAGGGATGACGGCTTAGGGTTTAGGCTCTAGTTTGTGTTTTGGTTTTATAGGACTGTAGGGATGTATTTGGTACTACAATAGGGTCCCCTTTAAAGAGGTGCTAGGGTTCTATAATAAGGTCCCCTTAAGCTTTCGGGCTGCAGGGATGTCGGCTTTGCCGGGATTTTGGCTCTAAGTAACAAGGGCCCTAAACCCCTTGACCCTACGGTTGATGATGCAAATCCTGCATTACCTTAAGGACCCTAAACTATAAGTATGGTATATTCCTTATTATGGGTAATGCAGGATTTATATCATCAACCGTTGGACCTTACAGGTGGGGTTTTTTCGTCTTGGAGGGAGTAGGATCTGGCTTTCTTCTGGTCAGCTGCCACGGCTCCAACTTTTTAGATTCCTATATGCTGGCAATGTCAGCCATGGTAGCGTGTGAGGTGTATTTTTCATGGCTTCTGAACTTGGAATATTCGCATTGCTTTGTTGTTTGATTTCTACATGGGCAGGCTAGGAACAAACATATTGCCAGTGCTCTGTGGATGATGTTCAGTTCTTCTATCAGTGCTTTCGCTATGGGCCACTATAGATGAATGTTGTTGTTGTGGTTGCTGTTGAGTGCACTGCTAATTATGACCACCATGACTGTAACTATTGCTTCACTACCTTGTGTGCACGCCATGACCTCTGGCGGTGGCAGCGAGTATTGTCGCTGGTACCAGCTCCAAAACTATCAAAAGCTCATAAAAAGGCCCACATAAGCCCTTTTCGAACCCCTTGAGTCACCTTGAGAATAGTCCTATAAAAGTAAACCTTAAACCCCAGACACCCTAGACTAGACTAGACTCTTCAATCCCTTTCAATCGCGACGATCTTCCAGGACCACTTCGTCCGCTATCCAGAGCTGGAGCAGCAGAAAGGCGAGGAAACAAAGGTCGTAGAAAAGGGCCTTACTTATTAGAAAAGCGTTGTTTTAAAGATTTCTATAAGGGTGAATAAAATTAAGGGGATTGGAATAGGCGACTTCTAAATAGGGCATGGCTGATAAGCACTGCAAGAGAGCTTTACGAGGGCCTAGAAATGTTTAGTCAGGGGGCTTGCGGGGTTTTACAAGGGCTGTACGAAGGGTTCTAAAGGCTTTGGTGATTTCGAGCAGCGAGAGTAGTGTACGAGGTTGAGGATTCAGGGTTTACCTGGGGGTGATTCGTGGGGGCTTCAGTGCTTAGCTCGTGCCTGGGATTATCAAGTTTCGGCTCTTTGCATTTTTCTCGGGGTTCCATACCCTGAAGCCTAAACCCCACGTTCACTGCCAGGGGACGGGAAGTTTCTGGGGGCGGAGTGTAGCGAGGAGGGGGCGGACGTTTTCTGAGGTGTTGCTTTGTTCGTGTGTCCCCTCCCTGAACCTAAAGCCAGTTTCTCAGCCTTAAAGCTTAAACCCCACCCAGAAATACCCTTCTGCCTAATCACAGTACCGTTGCAGTAAGCCTGAAGACCATAGAAAAGCACTGGCAATGCCCTATACTTTTGCATGTACATACACAAATACATCCGCACAAACATACATACGTACCTACGTAATTACATATACCTAAATACCTACATACAGAGATTCATCCATTCGTTCCTTCGTTCATGAATGCCTACCTGCAGGAATACCTACATGCCCAGAAAAACCTTGATTCTGGGAAACCCATGCCTAAACCCTAAACCGAATGCAGGCCCTGAGGAGGAGGCGAGCCACCCCAGTGCTTCGCTTGTCGGCAGCAAGCAAGCCTGGAGATGCTTTACCTGGCCCCCCGAAGTATGTAGAATCATCATCGCCTTCTGTAGGTGTTGGGCCAGTATTGTACTATTTTTATTTTGTTTGTTTTTAAGGTTGCAAGGGGGGTAGGTCATGTGGCTGGGTTTAGGGGAGGGTTTAGGGTTTAGGAGCTTGGGGTTCAGCTTGGGTGGTTAGGTCATGACTGTTGGTTGGTGCGTGCAGGAAGCACAGGTAGGCCACTTGTGGCTTTTACCCTGCATCGCAGTTAACCCACCCCAAGACCACCGCAAGGTTCCTAGAGTCTTCTATGTTAGGCACACATCCAGTTCACATTACGGTTTGTTGTTTGTTCGTATGCCAGAATTCATGTATGTTTGTACATATATATATATATGTGTGTGTGTGTGTGTGTGTGTCTGTGTGTCTGGACTTCTCAGTTTATGCATGTCTGCATTCATGCATGCAGCTGAATGGTGGATGGATAGATGCATTCATGCATGCATCCAGGCATGCATGTCAGTATGTTGTTGTATTTATTGCACATGTAAACGTGACTATATCTGCGTATGCAAGCAAGCATGCAAGCATGCAAGCCTGCATGCATGCATGCATCATGAAGGAGTCAATGAATGTACGCACGAATCTGTCACGCCCAAGCGTGTGTAATTACAGGACAAGCACCCATATCCTTGCATATGTACACATGCACATGCATATACCTGTAGATGTTTACAATGTGACAGGTGTGACATGCAGAGGTCTGGATGTAGACAACTACACGGATACATATATACAAAAAGAACCATACTTACATATATCCATTCGTATACCCTGGTACACTATATGTATACATGTCTGCACATACGTATGTATGTATGTACGTGTGCATGCATGCAGAGTGGCATAGCATGGATGGCTGTATGTATGTATGTATGTATGTACGTATGCGTATATGTATGTGTACGGGCGCATGCACACATACGTGTTCAGGTATGCATGCATGCACGCATAGACACACACACACACACACGTTTACATCTATGCATGAAGGTGCAGACGCATATACAGTGATATACATATATATATATATATATATATATACACACACACGCAGTTGGTTCACTTGATTAAGTACGTCTATGCAGATAGAATTATATCTGTGTGTACCTGTGTACATAGATAGAAGCACACACACACATGCACACTTACATATGTATGTGTGTATGTATATGCATCTATATATATATATATATATATATATACATATGGTCGCCCCACAAGGGCATGGTCTGTCAACGGGCCGGGGGGGGGCATATATCGTTTTACACACACGGTTGTGTTTATGCATGTGTATACACACGTTCACATCTGTACTCGAAAAATCGAGACACGGACTCACTCACATACTCCTGTGCCGAGGTCCAGCTCCATGCCAATCGAAATTGATGCACCTCCGACCTTGTTCACGCGAGAGGAACTGGAGGAGGTGCGCCATTGGGGGCCGGGGAGGCTTTTGGAGAGCGGAGGTTCAGGGGGTTCGGTGCTTCATCCTATACAGTTACGATTAGAGACAGGAAAGAGGCTGGTTTTGCCTGTTTTTCCTAATCCTGCTTCTCTTTGAGCACATCGGGTTTCGCGGCAGTGGCTGCAGGCCCAGAGCCCAATCTCCCACAGACTTTAACCCGAAATATCAATAAACTTTTGGTGCCGGGTCGTGGCAAGGATAGGATAAAGGCTTGATTTTCTGGTTCGAGTGTTTTGTTACCGTAGGTGTTCCCAGTGTATCGGTTTTGGACATTGGGGTGTCAGGCGTGGGACGAGTTGTGCTCACTGGTGTACGGCTTCTTCTCGGAAAGGGGAGCTGCAAGTACTAACTTGGCTCCCTTGAAAGCGGAGACCCTATAAACCCTAAATCCAGCGTGACAAGAAACTAGACCCAAATAAGCCTTCACAGACAGCTAAGCCGCTTCGGGATTCTTTTGTTCAGGGCTTGCAGCATGTCCGGCTTCACAACTTGCACTGATACCTAATTTGGGAGCCCCCAGGATAAAACTGTCCAACATTTCTAGAAGCGGTAGTTTCAATAGTGTCTGCTCTGCGTGGTTATAAGTTTTGGTCCCGAATCATCTCCTAAGGCTCCATGTACCCTTATAGTATATACTTAGGCCTTGAAGTTCCTTTATAGGTATCTACTATAAGGGTACGTGGAGCCTTTGGGATCTGTTTCCACAGGTCGTAGACCCCGTCTACGAGGCATACCATTGGCAGCGCCAAGCTGGCATGGCTTTGTAGCTTGGGTTGAGGTTTGTTTTTTGGGGGTTTAGGGTTTGGGGCTTTTGGGTTTAGGGCTTTATAGTTGAGGGTTTGGGGTTTGGGGTGTTGGGTTTTCGGTCTAGGTCATTTAGGGACCCAAAAAGCACATAAGTTTAAGCATTTTATATGGGATATCCCTATCCTTCTTTTTGCTTATGTGCTTTTTTGGGGCCCTAGTTATGGGGGCCCGGAGGTTTGGTTTGAAGGACAGGGTCTGTAGATTCATCAGCCCATGGTCTCTTTTGTTCTGCCGAAATGTGTGGTATTGTCCTTCCTGGCTTTCTTGATGGCAAGGAGCAGTAGTTGGAAGTTCCTATAGAGGAATTGCTATATCTGTGCACAATAACTGTTTGAAGGTTTTCACCGTTGCCACTACATACGCACAGCTTTGCGTTTTCCTTCAGTGTCTGGTACGGCCTAAAATCATGGGAAGCGCCTTGCAGAGGCACAGGACTTACCTTAGGTTAGTAGGGAATGGAGGAATGGGGTATAATTATAAGTACGATTATACTACTCTATTACTACAATATTACTATCATATTGCTACCATATAACTACTATTACTACCATTCTACCATTCCCTACGAACCAAAGGTAAGAGGACCGCCCATGCCACGCATTTTCGAGCACGGCCCAGCAGAGATGGCACCGGGACTGCTCTGCTGGCCGCAACGCACCCGCAAAGAATTACGGCATGCTGAGGTTCTCAGCGCATGGCGCTGCCAAAACCAAGCTGCTTCAGAGATCTAGCGTGGCATGGCACAGCTTTGTGGAAGCAGCGCTGCCGCATCGTCGCCGCCAAGCCCGGCGCTAGATGGTGAGCGACTCCCGAACCGGATGCCGAACCGGATAGCATCCTCAAGTCTTTGAAAGGAAGCACTCGGATGTTCCGGCTGCCGTGATCGCCAATCAATGCTCCAATTTGGTATAGTAGCAGAATACTGATAACACTTGGATCAACCTTAAACCCTAAATTCCTAAACCTTATAGGCCCTAAACTTGGCCCTAAACCCTACATTTCTACACTTTATGGACCCTAAACCCTCAATTCCTAACCGTTTTATAGCTTAACCCTTAAAATCCTAAACTTTTTTATACCCTAAACACTGAACCCTAAAGCCCTGCATTGTTCCACCACCAAGACTTGGGGCAGGCTCAGCCTCCCCGGGGCTTGTTCCCAACACCAGAGGTAGAAGCTTTAGTTCAGGGGCCTCAAAAGGTAGGATGAAGGTAGGTGGGGTAATCCCAAATAAGAGTACTGATATAAGGGATCCTTCATCCTACCTACCTTCCACCCACCTTTTGAGGCCTCCAATTAGTGAAGGGCATAATACAGGGGCCTTCGTGATTACAAGAGGGTTGGGGGTCCCATGAAACAATAAAAAGTAATTATTTAGGCCTTTATATGCTTTAGAGATTGTTTACGGTTTACAAGGGTTCCTTTAATGGTTCCATTAAAGGGGTCCACAAGGGTTTAGGGTTTAGGCTATATAAGCTTTAGTGAAGGGCACACACGTTCCCTCTCTTGATTCATCTGTATTTTAGGATCTGGTTATGACCCTTTTGACGGCAGGAGGGCTCATTGACCATGAGTCTACATTAACGGGTATTCGTATCTGAAAGGTTCCGTCATGTGGTTGGAGATTTGACCCCAAAACAATATGTTGACACCCTCAAACCCTCGACCTCAAAGTCAGACCCTGAACCAACACCCGAACTCAAAGCCTTGCAAGCCCGAAATCCTCAGGGCTAAGCCCTGAACCCCGGCACCTGAACCCTAAACCCTGAACCCCATAGCCTACGAAGCTCTGAACTCCAAACCCCACACCATAAATGGGAGTTTCCGAAAATTAGGGGACCCTAAGCGAGTACCTTAAATAGTAGGGTCCTTACTATAAGGACCCCAAAGCAAGGTACCACCGAATTTCCGGAAACTCCCAAATCAAAACTCTTTGGTTAGGGACTGGGCCTGACCCCCCAGGAAGGCTCAGTGTCGCTGCCTGCTGAATGATCACTAAGAACAAAAGAATGGTATCCTGTAGCGTACCTTTAAAGGCTTCTACGGGGGTCTCTATAACAGGTATGATAAGGGGTTAATATGGAGGGTGGAGTGATAGTATTCCCTCGGCCTCCTTTAACGGCTCCGAAAAGCGTACTATAGGTGATAGGGGTCAGCAGCATGTGTATGATTAGGGCGTCGTATAGAAATCTCTTTCAGGTGCCTCACTGTATCTGCAGGCCTTGCTGGAGTTTTCAAGGCCCCTATCCCTTCCTGAATGCTGAGCCCAAAGCCTCCAAGCCTAGGCTCTACACCGCACCCCAAAAGCATGAATCCCCAACCGGCTTAGGATTCGAGTCTAGAGCTCAGGTTATTTGGAACCCTGAACCCTGAAGAATCGTAAGTGTAAGCCGCTCTGACTTATGCAGTGCCTACCCTGGCAGTCCTTAAGTAAGCGGGCTTCGGGATCTCTTGCGGGGCTCGCTGCATACCTTGCCAGTGTACACCGCTGCCGACTCCCCAACATGGGTCAGGCGCCAGGGCACCGACCATGACTGAGTGGATTGAGAATTTCAGGGCTGTGTGGGTTCAGCATCGCCGAAGTATTTTTGCGGGCTCTTATTGCTGAGTCTAGTTTAGAATCCCCCAAGGCCCAAGCCATCACGAACTCATGTCTGCTGCCAGACGGGCGTCAAACTGAATCCTACTGAGCAAGACAAGTTCTGTTTAAGCTTAGCCAGCCGCAAGTGAGACCCGCCTTTCGGTTCGCCCTAAACCAAAAAACCCTAAACCTCGGATTCAGGGTTTCTGGGCTGTCGGCCGTCAACCTGGCGACCAATCCTGAGCACCCGCCAAGGGCAAGCTAAGCAGACCAACCTGATCTTTGTACATTCTAGGTCGTTAATTCATTCAACCCTGTCTTTGTGTGTGTAATCAATAGGGGCTGCACTAAAGTCATGTTTTTTAAAGTACTACACAACTCACGGGCTTAAAGTAGAAGTGCACGGATCTGGAAGGGGACCATCGCCCTTTCGAGCATCCCCCATGCTCCTTTCTGAACAATAAGACCTCCGACTTTACTTTGAGTGGGAAGCTTCACGAACCCAGGGTCCTTATTATGAGACTGTGGGGCTTTTTCTAGGTATCAAAAGCCATAAGTAAGGACTACTTGGACCCTCTGGGTTCATGAACCCATGAACTCGAGGTTTCGTATGAGCCCCGAATTTCAATCCTGAGGCTCTCACGGTAGATGTCTGAGCCCGACTGCCTTCGTGCACGAGCCTTCACAGCTTTAGATTGATTCGGTTTTGATCCCTTCAGCCGCCTCAGGCCCGAAACACTACCGCGCCCACCTCGATTCCTAAAACCTATGTCCCCATTTGGGTCCCTAATCATGCGGCACCTAATATTTAGGGTACCCCCTAAAGGGACCTTAATGTTGACAACTACCCATATAGGCCCTGAAATCTTAAATCCTAAGCCTATAGGGACACAATGGGGCCCCAATACAATCCTTATAGTCACTATTACAGGGCGGGGGCCCCTTCTAACCCATGTTCTTTCAGTCCAAATTGCAGGCCCAAGGACAAGCGAGGACTTCGAAAGCAGTTGGCAGAGCAGAGACTTGCTTTCAAGGCCGAACCTTTGACCCTAAACCCTAAAACCATAAACCCTAAATCCTAAACCCTAAATCCCAAAACCTTAAACCCTGAATCCCAAAACTCTAAATCCTAAATCCCAAAACCCTAAACCCTAAACCGTGTTGTTTCAGGCTCTGGTCAAGCGCCGGCTCAAAATTTCAGGGTGAGCTTAGGGGGGTTCACGCACAGGGTAGGCTCGACACGGTTATAGGGTCTATGGCTCAGGGCGGAGGTTTAGGGTTTGATATTGAGGGTTTAGGTTTTCGGGAGGTTCCCCTTTGCCCTTAAGGCTGCGTTTTAGGACTTGGGGGGTGGTGTTTATTGTGCACGTTCTGGTCGGGAAGAGTTGTTCGAGTGGGGTTTTCTTGGGCTGCGTGCTTGGTGACTTGCGGCTTTGTGTTTTATGCGCAGGGTCGTGAAGATTGAGAGCTCGCAGCGGGTTCAGGGTCTCTAGGAATTCGCCAACATCCAAGCACGCGAGACTCTCGTCCTGAAAGCTCGGAAACCTTCAAACCTTAACAAATGAAATTTGGACCCCCCAACTAGCCTCTATTCCAGCGGGAGCATTCACTACGAAGGACCTTAGAGACTCCGTTCGAGGGCACTGGTGCATCCCTACACCCTGAAGCCATTTTTTACCCTTAGGCTCTGAGGACTCATATTTTAGGGCTTTGGGCCCAAAGACCATACTGTATAAGGCTTTTCGCCTATTTGAGCCTTAGGGTTTAGTAAGGTGCAGTGGTGAAGCCGATAGAGCATGGATGTGCCAGGAGCACCGAAAGTGAAAGAGATGAGTCCTGGCCCAGCTGTGGCTACGGTATGCACCAGCACAACAGATCTGCTGGTGCTGCGCTGAATGATCTGCCATTCGTTTCCCCCTGTGCCGTAAGACTCGGACTAGCAGCTTTTCGCCAATAATACAGTTCAACAAACACAGTGTTGTGCATTCCTGAGATAAAAGGGAGCATGCAGTGTGCATGTGGAAGCAGCACTCAAACCAAAACGATGGTTCTAGCCGAGCATCGGCCCATTCTGTACCAGCACAACAGACCTGCTGGTATGCTAGCTGAATGATGTGACATTCCTTCCCGCATGTGCCGCAAGACCCGAAACAGCGCCGCAAGTTTCAAAACAGTGAGTCGCTCCACCTCAGGGCTAAGACTATCCCTGAAGTTTCCGGCCGGTGCCCAGTGCAGGGTGTAGGGGTCGAAATTGTTCGCCTACTGCTACTGCAACTGCTACTGCGGCTGCTACTGATACTTGGATTACTGCTGCTTGTTCTTCATCTTTGTTTATCATCATTAGCCGTGAAAGGCTGTCCCACATTGGATGACTTCCTGCCTGTTGCCTCGCTTCAATCATTATCACCAATGCCCTTATCGGAAGATGTGCTTCGACCTGTTTGCCTCACCGTCTTCATGACAGCGGTCCTGATCAGAACTTTCGGAGCCTAGTGGTATTATTGATCAGCAAAGCCACCACCACCTTCAGGTGTGTCTTTCTAGTCAGCAGTATGAAGAGCAACAGTGCTACAAGCACATACAACAAAAAAAATGCAGAGCACAACATGCCGCAACACTTCCGCGAAGTCACAAGAGATGCAAGAAACAACTGGTTTGTTTTGGGATTGGTCGTGCCGGTGGTCGTTTACTGCAGAAGTAGCGCCAGCCGCAGATCACACAGAATATTCCTAGTATAGATGCACGGGAGGATGTGCATGCAGTCTTTGATTGGTTGTTGTGATGGTTGTGTTTGTGGCGCCGGCGGTGGTGCTGGTGCCAGTAAAGGCGGTTCTTGTTGTGGTGGCGATGGTGCTGCTGTTTGTTTGTCGTGGTGGTGGCTGGAAGACCCTATACAAAAGACATAACAACCCCTAACATACGAAACCTCTGAACCTTAGACCCCAAACTCCTTAAAACCCAGCGAACCCTTTTAGCAACCCCTAACATACCAAACTCCGGAACCTCAAACCCCAAATTCCCTACAACTTCGTGAGCCCACGAGGAGCGCGACACCGGGGCAGCTCGTCGACGGTATGCCCACCCCCAGCCCCAGAACTTCGAGGGTGACGGATTCTGTAGGGTTAGGGTTCATTGAGGCTTGCAGGTTTAAGGGTTTAGGTTCGGGAATTTTCAGAGGTCTGATGCATAACGATTCTGTACGCTATGGTCTTCCAGGGTTTAATTCGAGTTTAGGGTTGGAGGCTGGTGTTCAAGATTTAAGGTTTAGTTGCAGGGTTTAGTTCAGGATTTGGTGTCGTTGCCGGTTTGGGGCAACGGGAGGCGTTTGGGGTTCACGATTGTTTTTTTCCGAGCCAAGCCTTCAACTCTCATTTGCTGCAGTATTGGTATTCTTCTTGTTCGTATGTTCTTAGTATTCTCATTATTTCAATGGTAGTAGTCGTCGCCGAGTAGAGGTGTAGGAGTAGTAGAAGTAGCAGGAGTAGTAGTAGTAGGAGTAGTAGTAGTAGTAGTAGCAGCAGTAGCTGTGTGAGGAGTCTAGGTCTGCAGGAGCGCTTGCTTCTTCTATCCTCTTATGCTTGCAGTGCTATGAACTCTTCATAACAAGCTTACTCTCCAATGTACCAAAGTCAATCCTTTTTGATATCACCCTGTTAGCACTTAGCCTTCTGGATGGTGAAAGAATGATGGTAAGCTGGACATCCTCAGGGTCGAGGGCCCATCAATTGTATTCTCTCAAGGCCAAATTCGGGTTTCAGGCTGCACTGATTTGGTGGGATATTAGCACGAACGCGGGCCTTGAAGGGTTCCTATGTACTGTGAACCCTACACCCTAAACCATAACCCTATAAACCCACGTTGCTGTATAGCTACATGCACACTTCGGCTTGACTGCTGCCGCCGAATGTCAGGAGCCTGCTTGGAACTCTCAGTGCAACCGTTGCTAACACCGCAATGCGTCGTCTTGCGAGGTTGCATCATTGCTTCCAGGATAAGGATGGAAGACTTGGCCTACACAGTCGAATTCGCAGTCCCTGACCCTCAACCCCTCTTGCACTGCGACCCTCCATTCCACCCTTTTGAATTACGTTCCATGACTCGTAGACCCTTCTGTTGGACAGCCGCTGCAAAAGCAAGCGCCATTCCTGCCATGTGGCCGTCGCTACTAATTTCCCAAGCGACTGGCACACCGCAGGCCCGGAACTCAGGTGTACAGGCACTTTCTGTAGATAATGCTACAGTTACCTTACTCATCGGCCTACAGTACCTACCAATCCTTTCAGGGTGAAGGTTTCACGGCTGGCATCTTGATAAGCATGGTTCAAGCGAAAATACCGTGCCCATCCAAGATACAAACTTTTCGTTTTGAGAATTTCTAGGGCCAGAAACTTTGAAGTTCGGGTTTAGGCCTTATGGGATTCAGGGTTTCAGGGCTTATATAGAGTTTACGATGACTTACGGTCGGTTTAGGATCCAGGGGGTTTAGCTGAGGGTTGGGGGAACCTCGGAAGTCTGCGGGCCGCGATGTGGTCCCGATCTTGGTACTCTTCCAAGGGGTGCGTGAAGCACCCGAAACTTCAAGTCCAAAACCCTGAACCATGACTAAGCCGAACGCCTAAACTGACCCAAACTCTAAATGCCAGCCTTTTGGGGTCCTCAAGCGCGAAAGCTTCACCCCATGGGATCAAGTTAGATACTGGAGGGACTAGGGGGAGCCAGCAAGAATTCGGAGAGGAATTCCTGTCAGGGTGTTCTGTGCGTCGTTTTCCTGTTTCCTTCTGTTTTTGTCATGTTGGCTGCTTTACGCGATAATGGGGTGAGAGGCTACAGTCACAACATACCGGGACGACCCAGTCAATGTGTCGGTGCAGTGACCCCGCTTGCGTGGCTTCCACCATTCGTCTTTTGATCCTAGCTCACAATCCTAAACCGCAAGTGCAACTCAAAGCCAGGATTCGACAACGGCAAATAAGTGTTTACGCAACAGACAGCAGGTCCACCTACTGCTCAAGCTATCCCACAGCCCCACTGCTGCAAGCTTTGTTCTGGCGCGGAGGCCTCAACACCTGAGTCCTTCTTTCGGGCTGCACTTGAAGATGCCTCCAAACTCTGAAACAGTACATCCCCCTAATGCCTAACCACTATAATAAACCCCAAAGCCCCAAACCCTAATTAACCCAAAACCTTAAACCCGTCATAAAGCTCGGGCCTCTTCGGGTTATAAGGGATAATAAAGGGGTCGGAATTGTTGCCACTGTTGTCCCCTGATACTCCCCTTGTCTTGTTATTACGGTAGACTGTAAGCCGAAACAACCTACCTTTGTAGGCTTCCTCGTGATATATATATATAGAGAGAGAGAGAGAGAGAGAGAGAATGTATATATATATATATATATAATGTATATATATATAATATATATATGCACATTTGGATTCTTTATTTCTACTTCCTTAAAAACGTAGGCCTTGTGGGCCACAGGTAAACCCTACAGCCAGTGCAGAGGTTCCTTATGGCGCTGGGAAGCTGCGCCTTCGGCGTGGAGGCCTCCATGAGGTCTTTTAAGTGTTTGGGGCTTTAGACTCACAGGGTTTATAGGGTTTATAGGGTTGAAGGGTAGGGTTCGGGGTTTAGGGTTTTGGGCCTTTGGGCTTTAGAGTTGAGCTTGACCCGGAATAACATACCTGTTTTTTTGTAAGGGAACAATCATAAGGAACCCTACAAGGTAGGTTATTCAGGGTTAAGGGAGGGTTTAGGGAGTTGGTTTTGGGAGTTCGGGAAGTTCGAAAGTCCCGAATTGGGCGATGCCTGAAGGTTCCCAACAGGGGTTTGGTTTAGGGGTAAGGATATTTTCATTAAGGGCTAAGGGTAGTTTGGTTTCGGGTTGAGGGTAGTTTGGCCAAGGGTCGAGGGTAGTTTGGTTAAGGGTTAAGTGTATGTACGGGTAAGCCAGAGTTTAATGGTGGTACTCAGGACTTAGGCTTGCAGATTTGAAGAGGGTGGAGAAGAGGTTGGGGCTTATGAGTTCTGAGCCAAAAGAGTTTATAATAGGGTTCGCGTTCAGAACCAAGGATTCCAACCTCAGGGTTTAAGTTTCAGGATGCAGGATCTAAGGTCTACTCTTCCTTTGAGGGAGCCTTGGTTGGTTTATGGTTTAGAGTTTAGAGAGATCTTAGTTGTGACAAGCGCCGCAGGTGGTGTCGCCCGCCGGGCGCTCCCGGCGCCCCAGCTCGAGGGAACTCGCTCTTTGGCTCCCACTTGTAGGTAGAGGGCCAATAATACGGTATAGGGCTTAGAGTTTAGGTTTCACAGGAGGGGTAAATATGGAAGGGACTTAGAGACGCCTCAAGGGTTTCCCGGGTTCGTAACAGCGTGCTTGACATTGGCCAGGCTCTCTGCAAGGCCTTGTTCAGCGGCTAGTGTACCGATGAACAAGTTTGCTGTGCATGGCCATCCGCGAAAGATCAGCTGTGTGTCTGCAAGTGTTAAAAGGATTGTGCCGGCCTCATGACTAGTACCAGCGGTATTTGCTGTCTTTCCTGCACATTGCTATTCTTTCTCTTCCGCATATTGTGTACATATACAGTCATATACACACACACACAATACTTGTAAGCTACACTCTCGCCTGCCGTGTGTGCGTCGTGAGTGTCGAAACTACACTCTAAGTTTCGAACTTCGGCTGGGTGCGACACAGGAGGTACATTGGACGAGAGATGTCGAAACTACACTCTAAGTTTCGAACTTCGGCTGGGTGCGACACAGGAGGTACATTGGACGAGAGATGTCGAAACTACACTCTAAGTTTCGAACTTCGGCTGGGTGC